GGTCTACGAATCGTTTAAGATACTCAGCTCAAGAATCGGATGATTATTGCCAAAGATATAGCCTTCGCTGCGGGCCATATAGTGGCTCCATGCCTTTTTCAAGATTTTGAAGAGGACCCTCTAGAAAATTTTACAAAAAATTAAAAATAAATTATTCTTCTAGATTTTAATGATGATTTATGGAGAATCGGTCTACGAATCGTTTAAGATACTCCGCTCAAGAATCGGATGATTATTGCCAAAGATATAGCCTTCGTTGTGGGCCATATAGTGGCTCCACGCCTTTTTCAAGGATTTTGAAAGGAAGCCTCCAGAAAATTTGACAAAAAATTCAAAAAAATTATGCTTTTAGATTTTAATGCAGATTTATGGAGAATCGATCTACAAATCGTTTAAGATACTCCGCTTAAGAATCGGATAATTATTGGCAAAGATGTAGCCTTCGCTGTGGATTATGTAGTGGCTTCATGAGATTCATAAAGTGGCGAAGTAAACCCTCCAGAAAGATAGAAATTTTTAAATTCGAAAAGAAGAAAGACTTTTAACAAATTAAAATCCAGTTCCGTTTACGCCAAAAAAATATAGCACTCTCTCTGCTGTCAGACTTCAAAATTTATCACTTTCCTTATATATATTTGCGGAATTCACCCATTTGGCAAATTTGGATACGATTTTTGGGATGGTCGTCATGCTGGCGCCTCATCGGGTCTGCCACCCGCACATATTTGCATTTTTTCGTTTCTGCATTATGCAGATATCTCAATTCGTTATCATTTAAATCATCGGCACATGCGCGCCTACGTTGCGGAGAGGCTGATGATGGCCAAAAGCGGCATTCATTAAGAATTTAAATCGCACATAATTAAGGCTCAATAAATAGCCGAGCCAGCTTCAATATGGGGCATATATTAATAACTGAGACCCATCTAACAAAAAAAGAAACAAAAAAATTAAATAAATAAAAACAAAACCGACGATAACAAACGATGGTGACAACAACAAACGGCATAATTAAATCATAAAACGTTGAGCACATCATTAAAATCGTTTAAAATCGCTACTAGACTTGAAAACTGGTAGCGGAATCTTTTGTTAGACGGAGCCGCATATACTAAATAATATAAATAAACATTTATAAAATATATTGTTATTTATAAACATTTTTGTTTATTAATTCAAATGGGGGTCTGTATGTCGCCGATTTGATTGGATCATGGGGGATCAGTGACGTTTTATTCTCTTTTTGATTTTGTGTTTTCGATTTCGGAATTTTTGTGTAAAATAGCTTTGCAGAGAGAAAAATTTATGGTTTTATTTGAATTAAATTAAATTTTAAATCAAGTTCTTATTATAAAAAAAATAATATGTTTAAAGTATGTTTATATTAATGAAAATTATTTAAAATGAACCAATATATTAAATACAATACCTATACTCGTTTTTTTTCTGTGCCTGCATGTGTAAAAGTTACGAATTCCACCCGCAACAGCTTGAGGATCTGGTCCGGATCCGAATCCGAATCGGCTTGGGAGCAGGGGAGCCAGAATTGGAGATGGGCGGAGTGGTTGATGCCACGGCACGTGGTAAACGAGATGCATGCTTCAAAGGCGCCGGCCACGGCCCACCTAAACGCTTCGAATTGAATACGAAAAGCAGGCTTTAGTCTGGCGGCTTGGGTCTTGGGCATCGGCATTGGCATCAGTTACAGCTTTAGCTTCAGCTTTGGGTTGAGCATCCCAGCATCCAGCAGCGGCACCGGCAGCGGCATCAATATATAATCAGGCCGCTCAGTCAGCCTGCGGAGGCGATGTCCATAAAACTGGTTGCAAACGCACATAAACCATTTAAGCCGAAAAGAAATCGGCTGGAGCACTGGCAACTCTAACGAGATAAACAACTTGGTGGCGAGCCACTTTGAATGGTATTTTGTATATTTATTTATTTTTTTTCTTTAGTTTTTCGTCTTAAATTTTGTTTGTTGTTTGTTGGTTTTTTTTTTGTGTAAGAAATCGATTTGGCTTTTGGATTGAGTTTCAGCAGATTCAGATTTGGATATTCGAATCGAAATTGGAATATCAAAGAGGCCGCATTTCATTTCACAAAGTCAAAACAGTTAATTTATATCATGTCGCGACTACTGGTCTTACTGATTTTGCATTTTCGACAGAGCTCCGGCTACCGTCTTTCGAAATTGAAATATGAAAATGAAATCAATTTGGGGCCAGAAACCTGATTAGCGCCCCCCACTGCAGGCGGACATCGATTTGGCATAGAAGATTGAAATCGAGATTGAATCGGAATGGCTTAGAGTGGTGGAATGGAATGGACTCTATTGGATTGGATTGGATTCGATTGGATGAGTCTGGGGCTTTGGAAAATCAAGAGATCGCAAATTAGTCACATTATAAATGTACATACAGATATGTGCGGCCATAAATTTGGGTAAATCTAGCCTGGGCATTCATTTACTGAATGAATCTGAAATTGAAAATGAAATGGAGCAAAGTTTTATAACTCTATTTTGGATGAATAATTTGGGGATTTGAAAAGATTTCTTAGAAATTGAAAGGCTTAAGATTAATGAAGTTTTCTAAAGAATACTAAAAAACTATTAAAACATTAAGATATATAAATGTATCTCTGAAAAGTATTTTTAAAGACATTACATTACTAGATTAAGATATATACTTTATATGACCAGGCTACCATTACCATATAGATTAAAAATAGAATGAATTTAAGAAGACATTATTTGAAAAGAAAGGATTATAAAGGATATTACAATATTTGAAAAGTATACTTACCCAATTATGAATAATCCATATATCCATATACCATATACCATTATACCATTATATATCCATATATCCAAATATCCATATACATGATAATATGTATGTATATTTTAGGACTATTAGGTTTATCTGTTTCTTTAGTATATTTATTCTTACAAGCCTACAACAAAACATAACTGACATGCGGGGGATGTCTGAGATGTCCCGGCCTTGACGATTTGGTGCGACTGCGTAACTGAGTAGCCGCCGCAGGACAGCTACACTCACCGACACTGACACTGCCAGCAGGTGCACTCAGCACACACTGGTACACACAGACACACACTGACACGTTATGACCTGGCTTAAAAGGTGCCGCTGAGCCTGAGCTAATTTCAAATTACACACTTCATTCGGCCGGGGAACTGGGACAGTGACTGGAAACTCAAACTGGAACTGAAACTGAGATTGGGATTGGCAGTAGTGGTAGTGGTAGTGGTGGTTATGGCATCGGGACACTAAGCCGCTTTTGAAGCCAACCACAATTGACAAGCGTGCCCCGCACCGCTCTGATCCTGAAGATCAAAGCCACCGACCGCCCGCACGCTCTTGCTCCTCACTCCGATATCCTCGCTTCTCGTTTCTCGCCTCTCAATTCTCGATCCTGGCCCATCGATTCTCCAAGATTCTCGCCATGTCGCTGGTGAAGTCACTTGCCTAACGGTCGATCGATGGGTTCGTCGTAATGTGCGTGCAAGATGGATTTTCGGGGCACCGTGGGTGTGGCTTATTTTAAAGCAATTAGGCCCATAGTGAAGCGTGTCTTCGTCTCTGGCTGATGTACGAGGACACTTTCGACTATTGTCCACGATCCTTTCATCTTTCGCCGCTAACAGTTCATTTGAGGGTCGGTTCGGCGACTTTGAGCCATTAAATTGATTGGTCGCACCGCCGAGGGGATGCCTCGGAAATTACTCAAGACTGTGATTGATATTTTATGGTGGCAATTAGGCATGCTGCTAAGCAGCAAGGATTTGGCTAATTGAAAGCAACATTGTACAGGTTTTTTTTTGAAAGGTTCATGGTCATATATTGGGGGGTTTTGAGATTTGGGATATTTAATTTAATGTATTTATATAAAAATGATATAAAATGATGGATACAACAAGTTTAAGTTTTAATCCTTTTTTTGATCGTTTTGTATCTAGCTTGTAAATCGCGCTGAAATCCTAATAGCCTTATATACTTATTTGTTTAAGCTAGAATTATTTAAGAAACTAGTTTTCTAAAAAATGTTGATTTAAGAATTATTCCTGTACTGATACATTAACATTAAAATTAAAAAATCCCGCCAAAAGAAGTCCTTTTCATAGTTAATAGAGGGAAAAAGCTTATAAGTATGTACATACGGAATATATATTTTTATTTTATATTTATCGTAATTCTTTTTAAAATATTGATGAAATAATAAAAATTAAATGAATTCGCAGCTTTTGATAAAAAGATCCTGAGTGGTAGACCGTAATTTCATTTTAGAGATGAGCCTCCGAATAAATCGCAGACTATCATTAATACCCAACACTAGATGGCTCTTCGACAGGGGGCGCCACACGCAAATTGTTGCTAACGCCCTCTAGTGTTGGATTGTGAATGGCTAGAGATGGATAAAATATCGAAAAAGTCTTGAGCGCCAAGTTTAAAATTAAAACTCAATATCCTTATATTTTAAAATTCAAAGCAATTTCACAACAAATAATTTTTTCACTAATTCTTTCTTGTATATATTTTATTACACAAAGTACATACATACGGTTATAAATGTAATAAGTAAGTTATCTAGTTTATATATTAATCTAGCTAGCTATTTTTGTAAATATTTGTTTGCATCCAATGCTCCACTCGAAAAATATTCATTGTACTCGAAGCACTTTAGCATTCCAAATCCCAGCAGCCGCGAGTTGGTAGCCGGCAGCCGGCCTGCAACCTCCTGCCCTTACCAACAAACATTAACATTTAATCCGGCTGCCCCATTCAGATGTCTGCCGGTTGCACCTGCCACTCAGCCAAAAGCCGTACAAACGAATAAAAATGATAAAAATGCGAAAAATAATAATCACTTGATGTCTGTTTGCGTATACATATTGCATGTTTTTGCACTTTTTTAATCAGTTTCGTAAAAATGATTTTGAGCGCATACTATACACCATGCCACACGCCTACCACCACCACTGACGGACAGGTGGGCTGCAACAGCAGTAGCAGTAGCAGGAGGAGGATCGGTTGGACCTGGACATGGACCCTATTCATTGGTAGCCACCGTCAACCGTCGTCATCAGCACAGCCAATTACGCAAATTAAACAGATTGTTATCCTGTCTCGACCCGGACAATGTGACAAGCCGGTTGGGCAGCTTAATTCAATCAACGTGACATAATTACTTAATTAATTAAGTGCGCCCAGTGGTCACACATTCAAATCGGCCATCATTTTGCGAAAATCGTTCAGCGAGCCGTACATCTCAAAGTCCCCGCCTCCATTGCTGCTCCCAGCTCCGTAGGCGGGTCTTTGGGATCTGGCATTTGGGGGGCGTGGTAGTGTCAGCGGGACGGGCAGAAGCTCCGGCATAACCGAATGGTGTGTGATCAGGGCCTTCAGGCTGGAGAATTCCTTGGTGAAACCCTGTATTTAAGACAGTATTAGTTAGTTTCTGGTATAGTTAGTTATATCTCATACCCACCTTAATCTTATAGCCCCTTTGTGTCCTGAGGATCAGATAGTGGGCCACCCGAGGCGATGGTGGCGGCACTCGAAGCGACAAAGCAAAGCATCCCGGTTTGGTGCTGCTCTGGCGCACCAGAAAAGCACCAGGATTTTGGCGGGAAAGTACCTCCAGGGATATCTCACGGGGAATCCCAGCCTGAAACCAGGCTGCTCCTTTCAGTTCCTGTTGCTCTGCCAAACTGAGATTATCCAGTCGGAGGGCAGTGTGTCCGGGGAACTGAAGCTTTGGACTGGAGTTGGCTGAAAAAAAAAAAATGAAAATAAAAGTTGGTTCTTATGTCAGTTGATGCAACACTAATGCTTACCACTGCAGGTCTCCCTCAGATACTTCTTGTTGCTGGCGGGCAGCTCCACTTGCAGCCGCTGGGTGGCACTTTCCAGGGCGGAGAGCGACTGGCGACACGAATCACCAAAATTGCTGGCCACATACTTGTCCGGCTCGCAGATGGCCTCGTTCACATAGCCGTCCGAAATGGAACCGGATGCGGAGGCCAGCGAGGAGCCGCAGGTGCTGTGCACCAGGGGGCGGCTGTCCTCGGTGCCACGGAGCAGGCCAATGCCCATGGTGAGGCGTTTTACCTGCGAATCAGACCAATATAAAGAGAGAGAATTTTTTTTTAGAAAAGTAGAAGAGACTTTAAGCAAAAAATTACACTAGGAATTATATTCCTGTCTATGATTTTATTCTACATCATTAGTCTATTGTTTAAAATTATTTTAAATTAAATAAAATATTTTTTCCAGTGTATTGAAGTACATTTAGTCGTACATTTTGCATGTTGCATGTTGTCTGCCAATTTGGCAAAGTTTTTGCAATGCTATAATGGCAATTTCGGGACTACTGTTCTCTGACCAGTATCGGGAGCAGGTGCAGTCTTTCCTGGGATTTGTAGCCTCACCCCCGCCACGCCACACCATCTCCCTCCCCCCTGCCCTTGGCCTGTAGCCACGCCCCCTCCACAAAATCCAGCAAACATCAAACACACTTTAGCTCTCACAACCAGAACCACAACCACGTCCAGACCCCACCCACACCTCCTCCCAGACCGAGATTGATGTGTAAAATTTTTGGTTACCAATAAAATGTTAACCAGTGCCTGCCACGCCCACTCGCCTAGGAGACTGGCTAGGAGACCGCCCACGTTTACTAGCCGCCTTTGGCTTCTGCGGCAAATTACTTTGAAATGAGTTCGAGCCAGAGTGGAAAGTTTCTGCCATTGGCGTTTGTCTGATACGGCCATGGCTATGGGTTTTCAGGCTCTAGCTTTTCGGGATTTCCACTGCCGTTTAAATTGTTTCCCATTTTCCATTGCGTTTTGTAATTAGCAGCCCGAAAGTAAATTGTTCTTGGCTATTTCGCTGTAATTTGCGATAATTATGTTGATTTTATGGACATGAAAGCAAAAGGGTAACAATTTCCATTCCCTAAATTGGAGTTTATTTCGTTGAATAAATTGATTATTTTTTTTGGGGGTTTATTTTCTATTAATTTAAGAATCTAAAACGGGGAAATTCTTGTTTTTGGTTATAGTTTGAATAGCTTAAAAGTGTTAGAATTAAATGGTTTAAGATGTTATATAAATGGTGATACTTTTAGTTTATGAGAACTTTTAACGTAAGTTAAGGTTATATTCTGAGTCCTGCCTTAAAAAACTACATAGTTCTGAATAAGTGCTGAGAGTTTATAAAACTTTTATTAAAATTCGAATATTAATACTTTCTTCTAATCGAAATTTAACCTAAATTCCCAACTAAAAAGGCCATAGAAACCAGGATTCAAGTCCTTTTCCTATTGCAGCTAATTAAATTGGCCACTTGGCTGCCGTTAAGTATGCAATCAGAGCTCGTGGCAACCTAATGCCCCCATTATGCTAATGGCATCGGAAGGGACTCACGCATTCAGCCAAGACAAGTCGAGAACTTTAGCTGCCAACTGCTGGGCCAAATCCCGACTATAAAGAATGCAGAAAAGCAGTCTGTGTGGGTGGGATGGCAGGTTGGCTGGTTGGGTTGTTGGGTGATTTTATTTTCTAAGGTATTTTCCAGACAATGGCACAATAGACGTGTCTAAGCAGCATTCACTGAACACGAAGAACAGAAAACTGTCATTTGATTTTCTCTCGTTTTCCTTTCGAGGTGGAGTGCTTCGTTATCTGTGGAAAAAGTTTTGCACGTTGCCTACTTTCAGGCGCCGGCAGAAGCCTACCTCTCCACTCTCCACGCTCCGTTCTCTATTGTCCTTTTGGCAAGGATATTCCCTAGGCCTAAAAACACGTGACACCACCGGCAGTCGTAGCAGCAGAAACTGGTTGCTGTCGGATGCATTTTCAGTTCTTATGCCGCTGTTGCTCCGATTTATGTGTCATAAAGTCAGTAAGTTAATGGCATTTTGCTGCCATTTCCCAGACATCAGGCATTGTTCAGTCGGATTTCCATTTTCCAACTTTTATTTGCACTAAAAGGAAAATGGGTAAACATTTAATGTCTGTCATTAAACTAAATAGTTAGGCAGTCGAAGTTTAAATTGTAAATTAGAAATGGTAATTGGAAAGTATAAATAGAGTAATTATTTTGAATAAATTGGTTTATTTGAGATTAAATGACTGGGATGATTAATCTTTATTGTCTAGTAAGAGAGAGAAGACCACTATATAATATTAAAAATAAAAAATAAAGAAATCAATAATAAAACCCCTCTTCTATAAAGATTCAAAGTGCATATGACTCTACCTCCGGTTACCTCTCATATCAAAATCTGTAGAACTCCTCTGATATTTCTCTCACTGCTTTTGTCGCTACCTATCCTGCAGTTATCCTGCGAGCAGGTCCTGTAGTGGCGCGTGCCAAAGTGCCGTTAGCTGCAAATTTGCATTTGTGCAAATTAATTTAATGAACTCTTTTTCGGCTGCTTGTTTAGTGGCAAAAACACTTTCCAAGTGGAGTGCACACTCCAGTTCGGTTGTGAAGGCCCAATTGCTTTTGAAATCGATTTAAGGACTGCAATTTAAGGACTAACAAAAGGACTCCACATTTAATAAAATTCCTCAGACAAAGGAACTGGCAATAAATGTTTGTTTCTTATTCTTGTCATTTTTGTTGCCTTAATTTCAAGTTATCCTTTGCAGCTTTACATTGCCTTTCCCTCAATAGATACTACTTATTACTTCCTTTTTCCTTTTGTTGCATCCTAGGAATTCATCAGAGTAAGCAGATTTATGCTCTGTACAAAGTAATATCCTAGCAATGAGGAAAAAAAACTACAAAGGATCCTGGCAATAATACAAAAAATTATTACTCCCCTGGCAGCTGCTTTGTGTATTTCCTGCCCCCCCCTAATACCTGAGCTAATAGTTAATATTAACTAGCAGGCTTTATAGAGAGGGGTGGAGGACACTATACAAAATATTATGAAACTATAATGATTTTAATAATCTATAAAATATATATATTAAGGAACTTAGGAAGACTTAAATCGCCTTAGGATACATTTTACTAATTCCTTAAATTGTAATAAAAATTATTCTTCAAGTGCATCCTTTTTAGGTCTTACCAGTGGCGGTTTATCAACCAAACGACGGCAATTATTCATTTCAGTGGGCGAATTATCCTCCTCGGAGCTGGGCGAGCGCAGCTGGTGCGGATTCGGATGCGGATGGGAATGCGATGGGGCGTCCTCCTGTCCGGACAAATCCGGAACATCGTGGTGACTGTGAAGCAGCTGAAGCTGTTCCACCGGACGCCGTTGGTGGTGCGGATGCTGATGCGTATGCTGTTGCAGGTGCGGATGCGGATGCGAATGCGGATGCGGATTTAGGCGGGGCTGTGGCTGCGGATGATGGTGATGGAAATAGTGTTGCGGCGATGAAGCTGTCCCTGCCCCGGCAGTTGCTTCGCTGTGTGGTTAAAGAAACGATCTCAGGCGAGGGAAAACTTGGAGGAAGGACAATTACGGAAATATCCTCACCTGGATGGAGACTTCTCGGCTGTTTCAATTAGGGTGGTCTCAGCGGTTTGCGAGGACGAGCATGTGGAGGTGGAGGAGCTGGACAGGGAGGCTATAAACGTGGCTGTACTGAGCTGCGGTTCCAGGCGAAGGCGTATGTCCTGCATGGCCATCGGTATGGAATCTCAAAACATCCTGAAAAATATAGAATATAATTTTAATTATAGTTCGTCCTTTGAGGTTCAAGACATGTATGCCTTTACATTTTCTTTGGAATGAGGATGAAAAAAACTTGTTAAAAGTTTGGGTAACCCTTTCAGAAAACTTTCCAGTACTCTTAAGGGGTAGAAACTTTGGTCACTTCTGGACCCTATGCTAATAATGGCAGTGCTGATGATTTCTTGACTTATTTTTGCAGTGCCTGCTACTGTTACTAGTAGAAAGTTTTTGGCTTTAAGCTGCCAGCCCGACAGCACTCTTGAAAGGCTTTAAGCCTTTCTGGCTGAAAACTTTTTAGCCACAACTGGCTGCTTATTGAATCCCAGCCACAAGTACATGTAAGGAGTTTATGTGTTTGTCTGCCTGCGGCCTCCGCCGATAGTTCTTGGGGGAAACTTTTAATGCGATTTTAAGCCGTTTGCTATTAGTTTGCAAATTGTTTCAAGATTTTCAGCATATTAATTTTTAAAGCCTTTTCGGCTAGTGGTTTCTCTGGCTTTCACACCCAAGTGTCTGATAATTGAAACCGAATGTGGGTTAAGGTTGGCTTGCTCAAATAAAACCGAAGGGGATCCAGCTCGAAGGAGGCCTTAACTTTGCCCCAAAGGTCTAGTCCTGCATCAGCTTTTATTATTCTCGACTGCATCACTTTACCCAGTTCCAAACAATGAACAATGGGAGCCTGCAACAAAGAAGCTTGCAACAAAATCCAGGGTGGAGGGGTGACAGAAATCACTCTGAGGATGGCATAGGGTTGGCGAAAAGAAAAGCTGCAGCTGCAGGCGCAAATGTCGACACTTTTTGAGATGTTCTCGGATGTTCTGTGAGATGGGGTTCTGCATTTAACAAGTATACGCCATGCTGGCCGGCCATTAATTTGGCCAAGGATGCAAAGTCACAAATGTGCTGACATTTGCCGGCACCCCGAGCCAAGTTCTCTCCCCCCCCCAAGCAGAGTGTCAGACAAGAAGGACTGTAGTTCGTCTTGGTTTTTGGCGTCGGGATAAAAGGAGATTTAGGGGCGTGTCTCACATGTTAATTTAGCTTGTCATACAGCGAATGCATCCACATGTTGTGTAGCAACAACAGTAATAAGCTACAAATATGTCTGCATCCTGCGGAGTGACAAACACAACATTCACTGCATTGTAGTTTCGCTCAACTGCAAAGTTATTCACATTCCTGCCAAAAGGACACAGATAGTGACTTAGTTTTGTGTTCTTACACTGCTTTGACTGGGATTCAGTTAAAGTTTGTGCAATAAATTTCACAGAAAAGTTTTTATTTTATGGGTATTGTTTGGTGGTAAGCAAAGGTCCTTTTATCTATTCAGAGGGACTTGCAAAACAAATGTAGTTTAAACTTTAGAAGTTTTTCAATACAGTTCGATGAAGAATTTTTATTTAAAAGACTAAGTAAAGACCTAATATAAGCTATGCTTTTTATTATATTATTTTTTTTGTCAAATCCTGTATTATTCTTTTGCCTTTCTTTGAATTGAAATTTACCTTTATGGCACCTGTTCATGTGTCTGCTGGCATATGACAGTCCTCGGTTCGGTCTATAACTTCTTATATACTTCCGCTCACATCTCGCACATTCGCTTGTTAGTTTATTGAAATGGATATTATGGTTATGTGTGCTGCTCGCCACCATTATCCTTCCTCTACTTCCTCCACTACTGACTCCGTTTATATCTATTTTCATGGGGATTTTGTTGCAGAATTCATTGTTAAATTGTTTGGAATCGTTTCGTTTCTGCGTTGTCTCTTTTTTTTGTTCAGACAAAAAGTTTGAACGTCGTCGTCGTCGTATCATGGAGTGTTTGCATGTTCAATGTTCTCGGTTTCCCATGCGGCATGTTCATATTTTTCGGTTCTGTCGTCCGATCCCTTTGGCAAATTGCACGCCAGAGGAATAGGTTCCTTATTGCGGACATGGGACTCTCTGACAAAGTCTTTAAAGCGCTTATGTCAATCAATGGGCTGCAACATGCAACTAAAACGGATGTGGTTGCCGCAACAATTGCAATAACAATAACCCACGAATGTCAACAGTCTTTGAACCCAAACTACAAAAAAAAAAAAAGAAACGAAAACAGAAACTGAAACAATAACCTGGGTGGGCTCTGGAGCTGCTCTGGGCCATGGGACATGTGAATTGTGGTAATGGAATACTTGGCCAACAACTGTGAGGAGCTGAGCGAGAAATAACGGCACCGCGCCGCTTAAACAACCTCAGATCTTGTAGGTGTGCCCCTAGGCCCAGACGGTTGCCACATTTTAAAGACTCTTTTTTAAAGACTCATTGAACAATGGAAGCGAAAATCTAAGGAAATTGTAGGCTCCACAGCCATTAGGGTTTCAAATGCTCTTTTAATAGGTTGTTTTACCAGAAAAGTACATGTTGTTTTTCCAACAATTATTATTAATTACATGCTTTAGACAACATTTGTTCATATTAGTCTTGAAAGATCATAAAAACCTAGGCCTAGCTTGGTATAAGTTTAAAGAAAAGTTTATAATTTCTCGAAAGATATATAATATCCAAAAATACTTAATATCTATTATTATTTAAACATCATCTGTAATTTTGATTACAAAAGTTTATGAAGAGCTAGTTAGCTTCTTCTCGTAAATATCAGGAAACCGTCCTCCAAAAAGGGTATTAAAATGTCAGTTTAAATCGTTATTTACTATGAGAGTGTGGCATGTGGGCTATGGGAAGTGGAGGGGCAATACAGTAGAGTGCATACCTGGCACGACAAACACTATACCCATGCCCCATGTTGGGGCGCCACAGCCTATCACAAAATTTATGTAGCCATCAAGGCGAAAGGAGTGAGTCCGGAATCCGCCATCCGAATGGTGCAGCAAGGATGCCGCTGAAGATGAGACGGCGATCGTGTGGCAGCCACAAATTCAGTTCAATTATGAATTATGCCAACAATTTTGCCTGACATGTTTGCAGAGGCAGTGTGTCTGGCCCCCTGGGTATTGCTATCCCTGCTCCTGCTCCTTTTCCCTGTCTCTGCTCTTTCCCCTCCCCTCTGATTCCTAGATCCACTAATTAAATGCAGCGCTGTGGGGTCGATTTGTTGTGCTAATGCGATTCGCGTAATTACACAAGCCGCTGCTGCGTTGCGACAACGGCGGCAACATTCCGAGGCGACCATTGCGTGTGTCAATAGAAGAGTGAGAAATGCTTTGTAGCCTCCAGAAGGAGGAGGAGGAGGAGAAGGTGATGTCTTCAAAGGATCCAGGGCTGTCATTGGGGATGGGGGCTAAAGAAAATGCAGTGTAAGAAATATTAAGGGGGAGATTCTTTTCCTCAAATCTGAAACATCAGTATCAGTTATTAGTTTGTATTAGTTTCATAAAAATAATACATTTTTTTAATTATTAAAAACTCAAATAATTAAAATTATATTTTTAGTATTTCTCTCAGTGCCTAGGACCAGCGGGTGCATTGTGTCCAAGGCGAGCTCCTTGGCGTCGTGTCTCTGTCCGCTTTTGGCATGTCCAACAAAAGCAACACCAACACAAGCAGCCAACAAAAAGCACAACAACAACAATGGCTTCTTTGTTGGCCAAGCTCCTTGTTGCCAACATTGTCATTGTTGTTGTTGCTGCAATTGTACATTGACACCTCCTGTTAGCTGGTGTTTTTATTTTAAAGAGTTTGGTCTACTTTTCAAATACTCTTTAGAAGAAAAGATTAAATATATAGAGCTCTTTTAAAAATACAATCGTAATAAAAAGGTGGTCTAAATGTTCCTCTATTTATTAGGAAATAATGTATCTTTTTAAAGAGTATCTCAAACTTCGTTTAGAGGAAAGGAAACCTCACTCTTCTTTACTTTTTGTTTGGCCTGTCATGGCGACGTACATGAAATTTATGTCGCCTTAAGTGCAACTCTGACAATGTGAGCTTGTAATTTGTTTTTTTTTTTTTTTGTTTGCTGTTTTGGCCATACTTGTGGCTGTCAGCACTCTTGGCCATGGCTATTTAATGATTGTGTCGTGCAAATACCAAAAAGCCACTGAGGAAACGAAGAAATCTTCGTTTCAAAGTTCAACTTCAATTCCAATATCAACTCGAATACATAAAGAAATCCAAACCAAAAACCAGATGTTCAACAAGTCACCAAAAAAAAAAATGGAGGGGGCTGTGGCAGGTGAAAGGCGAAAGGGGCGTGGCTATATCATGCAAATGTCACATGCAATCATAAATGCATAACGTCGAGCCCTTTGAACGCCGCGCCCGAGGGGGCAAGTGTAATAATTTATACAAATGTCTGCGGCTTTTGACTCGGCACTTGTCACCTTTGGGTTACGTTTTCCAGCCTTTTTCCTTCGATATCTGAAATATATATACTTATAGTGCAACGCAGCCAGCCCAAAGCGACAGTTCAATAAAAGTTATGCCATGTCTGATGACACAGTTTTGCCGCAAGCCCGAGGTGCAGCGAAGGTGATGCATTTTCCGGGGAGATTGAAAAACTTTTGCCTCGTTGACTGTGAAAATGAAATATGTTCGACTGCCTGTCAGGAATGCATTTTCATTCTTCCCAAGGAAACGACAAAAAAAGTGAAAGAACTGTATCAATAAGCGGCAAGAGAACTCTTTCCGAGATGACTTTTCGAAACGGGCTGTCATCCGTAAGATGCATTCCGTGGAAATGCAGATATGCGGCTATCAGAAGCTCTAGCCCGGCTTAAAGCCATAGAAATGTGGGCCATGAAAATGCTTATTAAAGTCATTAAGTTCTTAAAGCAAGTTAGTGACTTGACACTTCCGATGCTTTTAAGATACTTGATAGAGATAGGTTTTTAGATAAACAAAGTTTTGTGGTTTATTATATACGAAGGAAACTTTTATAGATTTTTGTAGAAAAATAACTATAATCTTCTGCTACCTGTGAGCCAAAGAAAAAATGACTTGCATTCCCCTCAAAGTGTGGCTATAATTTTCAG